CCTTCGCCATCAAGTGACCCCGAGGGAGCAGCCGGCTCGCCCCGGCGTTGTGCACTGCAAACAGATGCTCGCCACGTCATCTTTACATGTTGGGGTATGGCGGTAAGAGCATGCTGGTCGCCTGACCTGTAGTGTCAGAGGTACTGTTTGTGGCCCTGGTGTTCTACATTGCTGGGCAATGCTCATCGAGCGACTATTGGCTATTTGCGGTCAGGAAGCCCCTGATATGCGTAATTTCACGTTTTCCCGAATATGGCAAGTTCCAGAAACCCTTCCTCCTTCTCCTCCTCCTCCTCCTCCTCCTCCTCCTCATCCTCCTCCTCGTCCTCCTCCTCGTCGTCCTCCTCGTCGTCGTCCTCCTCCTCGGAGGAGGGGGAGGAGGAGGAGGAGGAGGAGAAGGAGGAGGAGGAAGAGGAGGGGGAGGAGAAGGAAGAACAAACAAATGTTGTCATCTCCTGTGGCTGTATATTTCTAATGTCCGCCAACTTCCGCTGTCCTTGTTTTGCTTCCGCCGCCTTTTCCGACAACCCTCCACCGAGGAGGAGTTGGGCAATCCTTGGATCCTCGCCTACCTGTCGCTCGACCGTCCATTCCCCGTGTTCTCTTCGATGCCGTGCGTGCTTGTTCGTTGTTTCGCAAGACGACCTGAGCCTTGTTTTGCTTCCGCCGCCTCCCGCCAATACTCCGCCGAGGAGATGGGAACTCCTTGGACCCTCGACTTGCCATCGCTCCAACGTCCATTCCCAGCGCATGTTTTCGGTTCCGTGCGCGTTTTTTTTCGCAAGATGACCTTTGATTCCGCCGCCTTTCGCCAACCTTCCGCCGAGGAGGAGGTGGGCATGCCTTGGGTCCTCGTCCAGCCGACGCTCGGAAATCCATTCCCCGTGGACAGTTAGGTTTCGTGTGCAATGTGTTTTCCAAGATGACCTGGGATGCTCCTCGATGGTCCCCGCCAGGGCAAAACGCACACGTCCGAGCGATGCCGAGTCGAAGGCGGGGGCCTCTCTGCCGATCCTGCCGACTTCCGGCGCGCTCGAGTCTTACAGTGGAGGCCAGTCCACGAGAAACCGTCAACGAGAAAACCAAACCCTGAGACCCCAAGGCGTCCCTTGATTTTGGTGTGGGGACGCCACGCTTTCCATGGCAAAACCAGCGAAGCCCAAGAAACCAAGGGCACCCTGGATCGGGCCGGGCGAAAAGGAGGGATGGCAAAGGGTGGGTTCGAGAATCAGCTCACGTAGCTGATTTTCCTGGCGCCTCCCGGCGCCAGGAGGCGCCCATGTATCGCGGCATGGGCCCAGCGGCGGGGCCGAAACCAGCTGCATGCAGCAGATTTCGTACCGCCCCCCTTTCCCTGTTCGTTCGGCCCGACTGGAGGCGAGCAGGGTTTTTGTTTTGCCATGGGCCCTGGCTGTACGCCTCCCCGCTCGGAGAGGGGCCGTCGGCGGCCCCCGGCAGGACCGGCCTCGAGGGGCCCGCGTCCAGGACGCGCCCCTGGACCGGCTCGGCCGCCGACTCCGGCGGGGACGTGTGCTATAGGGAGGAGGATACTGCGCTGATGCGAGTCGTCGGAGCCCAGTAGGGCTTCCGCTCGAGAGGGACTCCGCCCGGCACCTCGCACCTCTCTCTCTATGTATATGTATATATGAATATATGTATATACATATACCAATATATATATATGTATATATATATATATGTGTATACATGTTTATAAATATATACATGTATGTGTACACACGGCCATGGCAAGATTGCGGTCCCAAGGTTCACAGATTGGTGTAGATGGCACATCGGTTCGAGGGCTCGCTGAACGTCCGAAGCCGCCTGGACGCCGAGCCACGCAGCGACTGCGAACTCAGCCCATACCCGAGGCACAGCAACAAGCCCAGCCTCAGCCCATGCCCATGCGCGAACAAAGGCCGCAGCTTGACGGCGCTCCGCCCCCTCCTCGTACTCCTCCTGCTCCACCTCCTCCTCCTCCTCCTCCTCCTCCTCCTCCTCCTCCTCCTCCTCCTCTTGCTCCTTCTCCCGCCTCCACAGCCTCTCTCCCTCAGGTTCTATAGAATAATAAAACAGGACACAGCTAATTAAACCATTGGATCCCGTGGCTTGCACCACGAAGTTCACACACACACACACACACACACACACGCCCGAGGTGCAAGAGCCCTCTGTTTGAGGTCCACACAGGCAGACGTGTCATTGAGGACCCCCCAGAACTCTCCATCCCTTCTCTGTGACCTGCCTTGTGTGCCCCTGCTCGCATGTTGACCGCCCCAGAGCCGGACGACGGCTCCCAAACGCCCAACACGCCAAACCCCCCCGCTCTGTTGCTGCTTCAGGCCTGGGTCCTTCCGGCCTCCGCCTCCCCTGTCCCCTTCGTCCTCTCACCACTCTTGCGGGCGAGCTCCGCGTGCTCCGCACCCGTCTGCTGCATCTTCAGAAGCTGTCTTTGTCCAGCCGCGCGGCTATCCGCGCCGAGTTCGCGTCGAATTCGTGCTGAACACGTGCCGAATCCGAGTCAGATACGATACAAAGCTGCAGCCGATGGGACTGATGACAGGATGCAACGAGCCCGCCCCCCCTTGTATGCACCGAGCGGGGGTCAGGAAGAGGGGGGGTTAGCGCATCATGGCCCCAGGCATGTGCGCAGACGAGAGGGGGCGGGGCAGGGGACGTGTTGTGAAACAAGAGGTGGCAATGTACTCTAGGAGATAGCATAGCCCTGGCTATGGGATTTCCCCATAATGAAGGCATCGTCCCCATGCCTGCCAGTCACAGGAAAACCATCTGGGCGGTCTTGAACCAAGGGTTGGGGTGCTACGGCTATGTTCACACCATCCTCGATACGGCGTCACTATGAGTGCATCGCCCGAAAGTCGCAACAGAGCACCAGGGCAAGAGCAAAGAGGAACAGAAAGGAGGCGTGATGGGCCAGGTGTCCACCACCACTACCATAGGTAGGACGGGGGAGCAGGGAGGATGGGGAGGTCCTCCATTCCTTTCCCTTATGATTAACTTCTCCCTGTCGCATCCCGAAGCCAGTTGTTAGGGCGGGCTGGGCGTTTCGCCTGAGCATTCCTCACCATTTACGACTCTCAAGCTGAACACTTGGCAACGGTTTCACACATGGAGGGCGGATCGTTTTCAAAATGTGGCTCTCGCCTTCGCGCGGCGCACACTCGTTTTAAACATTTGCGCGCGCGCTTCACGGATTGAGGGCGGGTCGTTTTGAAACTGTGGCTCTTGCCCTGGCGCGGCATACATTCGTTTTTTAACTTTGCGAGCGTTTCACGGATTGAGGGCGGGCCGTGTTCAAAATGTGGCTCTCGCTTTGGCGCGGCATACATTCGTTTGAAACATTTGCAAGAGCTCCATGGTTTGAGGGCGGGCCGTCTTCAAAATGTGGCTCTCGCGCTAGCGCGGCGCACATTCGTTTTAAACAGTTGCAAACGCTTCACGGATTGAGGGCGTGTCGTTTTCAAAATGTGGCTCCCGCCTTAGCGCGGCGCACATTCGTTTCACTAAACTGCGAGTGGTCCACGGGTCGAGGGCGGTTCCTGTTCAAAATGTGGCCCTGGCCACAACGCGGCGCCGTTCGCTTCGAAAATTTACAAGAGGTTCACAGATTTCCATCATCAACGTACCAGGAATATGTTTTGTCGGAGAGGATTTAGGACTACGCGGGCGCAACAGTTACGTTGATTCGCTGTGTTGAAGTCCCAGGAATGGTGTTCTAGCACGATTCAGAATCGTCAACACTCAATGGTCAAGGTGATCCGTGGCGATGGAATCCCGAGAACAATGTTTTGGCATGCTTCATGGTCTTCCCTCAATGGAAATGAACCGTTGTAGGGGCCTATGAAGAGGGAGCTTGGAGGGTGGGTTTATTCAAACATCGTTGACGACTCTTGGGTTTACACTGGTCCTCCTCCTCCTCCTCGTCCTCCTCCCTTTCCTACCCATGGTAGTGGTGGTGGAAAATCGGCCCATCGAGGCGGGGCAGGGGTCAGGACAGCGTGGGCAGAGCGACCCAACTCGGCAAGGAGTCCCAGGGTAATCCTGGGCTGGGCTCGACAGCACCCGGGAAGCTGAGACCGACCCTGCCCCCCGGAAGAGGGCCGAACACCAGCCCTCGGCGTACTCCAGGTGGCATGAATGTCAGGGGGGGGGGCGAGGAACCTTCCGACGGAGCGTTCCCATACCCCCAGCCCCCCCCTCCACTCGGGTCGGGCGAAAGGGGGGGATAGCAAAGGGGGGCTTTGGAATCAGCTCACGTAGCTGACTTCCCCGGCGCCTCCCGGCGCCAGGAGGCGCCGATGTATCGAGGAATGGGCCCCTCGGCGAGGCCGAAACCAGCTGCGTGCAGCAGATTTCGTAACCCCCCCTTTCCCAATCCCCGCCTTTCGTCCGGCCCCCTCCACCGCCCCTCCACGTGCGGCAAAACCTCCCATCCCCCCCCGACCTGGCACAGGAACTTGAGCTTCCAAACTGCCCCCCCCCCCCCAAATACCCCCCTCCGACGGCACGCGCCCCCACCCCTCGAACCCAAGGGGGGGGGGGGGGGGCGATTATTATGCCGCACGGAGAAGACGGGGTCGACGATGGCAAACGCGACCGCCCTGGAATCTCCCAACCAACATCGTCCCGTGAATTCCTGGGAACCTCCCATCTTCAGAACACCTTGCGGCGAACCTTCGAAACACCTTCGCGCCTGGAAGACCCCCTTCCTTTGAGCAGGGACCGACCGTCCCGGCATTATAGTCATACCACGAAATGTTCTTAGAACCCAAAAATGTTCTAAGAACAAAAACAATGCTCTTAGAACATCAACCCGATGTGTTAAAACAAGACAGTCCCAGCCAGAAATGTTCTGAGAACATTTCAGGGGAACCACAAAAGGTTCTTAGAACATTGTTTGGTAGGGCTATAGGCGAGCCAGGAATCTTCGCCACTGCTTGATTCCTTGGACGCCCCCCGACCCTCACGGGCGGGTCCTTCCCCGCCAGCAGCACCTTCGCGAACCCGTCGTCCTTGCCGGCGCAGGGCGCAGGGCGCCCGGCCGGGCCAGAGGCCGCCAGCGGGTGCGAGCAGATTCCGTGCGGGCGATGCTTCTGTCCACATCCACTGCAGCTTGGAGGTGCGGGCTCTTTTCCCCAGAAGCCCGAGGCGCACTGGATATTTGTTTTACCATTAAGCCGACATGCCAATGGTGCCCAACCGCATGCAGGAGGCAAACCGGGAATCACGCGAGGGCCAACCTGTAATAGGCGAGCCAACACGCGAAACCTTGGCCTGTGCAGAGAAAGTGAAGATGGCTTCGCCACGACACCGTAGCAGGGCTGTCCTGCCGAGGGCTGTCCGAGGCGCACTGGATAATGAAATGATGCCCCCCCATAGGCTCGATAGTTTCAATATCCAGGGCGCCTCGGCCTTGTGGCGCGCCTTCCAATCCATAAATCCAAGACGCAGTGGATATGGATAGATGTGAGCTAGCCGACCGACTCCAGGTTACAATAACGTGCTACCACACTGGTATATCCAATACGACCACCCTGCGGGTGATAAGGAGGTGAGGGGGGAGGGGGAACCAACGTCTCACTCAATCGATCTCGCTATCGATCTCACAATCGAACTCACATTCGATCTCACTATCGATATCACTATCGATCTCGCTATCGATCTCACTATCGATCTCACAATCGATCTCACAATCGATCTCACATTCGGTCTCACATTCGGTCTCACTGTCGATCTCACTATCGATCTCACAATCGATCTCACAGTCGATCTCACATTCGGTCTCACATTCGGTCTCACCATCGATCTCACTATCGATCTCACAATCGATCTCACAATCGATCTCACATTCGGTTTCACATTCGGTCTCACTATCGATCTCACAATCGATCTCATTTTTTCACTCGGCAATTTTCACTCGGCACCATCATCATCATAATCAGCATTACCATCATCATCTCACAATCGATCTGACTATCGATCTCACAATCGATCGCACAATCGATCTCACAATCGATCTCACATTCGGTCTCCCTATCGATGTCACAATCGATCTCACAATCGACGTCATCATCATCATCATCATCATCATCTTCATCATCATCATCATCATCATCATCATCATCATCATCATCATCATCATCATCATCATCATCATCATCATCATCATCATCATCATCATCATCATCATCATCATCGCCATCATCACATCATCATCATCATCACATCATCATCATCATAATCATCCACATCATCATCGGGACACCGACGGGACACCGACGGGACACCAGCGGGACACCGGCGGGACACCGCGCGCCACCGGCCGCCCGGAAGAGACACATTTGGTCCGGCCGCGCCTCAGCCACAGGGACACCGACGGGACACCAGCGGGACACCGGCGGGACACCGCGCGCCACCGGCCGCCCGGAAGAGACACATTTGGTCCGGCCGCGCCTCAGCCACAGGGACACCGACGGGACACCAGCGGGACACCGGCGGGACACCACGCGCCACCGGCCGCCCGGAAGAGAAACATTTGGTCCGTCCGCGCCTCAGCCACAGGAGACTTTCCTCTCGCCCGCCCACGCAGCTTCGCCTCGCCCGCGCGCACGGCACGACTTCCCGGTAGGGGGGCTCTCCGTTCCACTTCGATCTCACCCCCTCACCTCCGATATACATATATACACACTTATGTGTCTATGTTCGCCAGCGTGGATGTCGAGCAATCTGCGTGATGCAACCTAGGCGGTGCAAGCAATGTGGTGCAATCTAGGCGGTGGAACCCATGTGGTGCAAACTATGTGGCGCAAAGCAATGCAAAGCACTTCGACGCAAGGCAAGATAATGCAATGCAGCGCAATGCAAAGCCATGCATATTAATGCAAGCAAAGCAAGGCAGGGCAATGCATGCAACGCAATGCCATTCAAACCAATGTAAAGTTATGCGCACCAATGAAGACAATGCATCGCAGTGCGAATCCATGTAACGCAATGTGGTAGCAATACGAAGCAACGCAAAAGAGTGCAAGCAATACAATGGCATGCAATGCAATGCACTCTACATCAACGATATAACAATGCAAAGCAATGCAGCGCACTGCACACTAATGGAAACCAATGCGACGCAATGCAAAGCAATGCAAAGCACGACCACAACGCGGCGGACCCGACGAGCAGGCCCAGACGACGGGTGGCGACGAGGCGGCGACGGCGACCACTTAGCCGCCAGGCCGACGCGCAGGCCCAGACGACGGACGGCGACGAGGCGGCGACGGGGCGGCGATGGCAACCACTTAGCCGCCAGGCGGATGCGCAGGACCAAACGACGGGCGGCGACGAAGCGGCGACGGGGCGGCGATGGCGACCACGTAGCCGCCATACCGACGCGCAGGCCCAGCTCCTTAGACCAGAAGTAAGAATCCCTGAGTGCAAGCACTGTGTAGGGAATATGAATGCATCATGCCCATTCGTTTCCTTGTTTCTGCGGATCATCTCTTCCACCCGCACCTGCCCTAACGAAGCCATCATGTCTTTGCTCTCGCTGGTGATGTTCCCACCCAGCGCACCATAATGTGACGACGGAGTTGATGTATGGGGTGATACGCTCTGGCCGGCCACTGTATCAATTCCACATGGTAGCAATCCGCATGGCAACTATCCCCATGGTAGCATCAGCACCTCCTGAATCAAATAACTGGTGAAAGCGATCAGGCCACGCTCCAGACGGTCCAAGAGTGCCAGGAGACGCCGAAATATCACTCCCAAACGCCTGCGATGGCCTCAAGACGGCCCAACAGGCCTTCAAGACGCCCCAAGAGGTCCCTAAGCGGCGCCCCAAGAGGGCTCCCACAAGCAAAAATCGTGCCATTCCCTCAGGAAAACGTGCATTTTGAACAAATCCGCCTCTTCGTCTTTCACATCTTTCAAGGCGGTCCAAGAGGCCCCCAGGATCACCCCAAGACGGCCCGAGAGACCCTCTAGACCGCTCAAAGACGGCCCAAGAGCGCTCCAAGAAGGCCCAAGAAACCCTCAAGAACTCTCTTTCGGAGCCCAGGAGGGCTCCAAATCGGTCCAAGAGGGGCCCGAGAAGCCCTCCAGACGGTCCAAGAGAGCCGCGAGACGCCGAACTATCACTCCCAAACGCCTACGATGGCTTCAAGACGGCCCAACAGGCCTTCAAGACGCCCCAAGAGGCCCCTAAGAGGTCCTTAAGCGGCGTCCCAAGAGGGCTCCCGCTAGCAAAAATCGTCCCATTTCCATAGGAAAACGTGCATTTTGAACATATCCGCCTCTTCGTCTTCCACACCTTTCAAGGCGGTCCAAGAGGCCTCCAAGATCACCCCAAGACGGCCCGAGAGACCCTCTAGACCGCTCAAAGACGGCCCAAGAGCGCTCCAAGAAGGCCCAAGAAACCCTCAAGAACTCTTTTTCGGAGCCCAGGAGGGCTCCAAATCGGTCCAAGAGGGGCCCGAGAAGCCCTCCAGACGGTCCAAGAGAGCCGCGAGACGCCGAAATATCACCCCCAAACGCATACGATGGCCCCAAGACGGCCTAACAGGCCTTCAAGACGCCCCAAGAGGTCCCTAAGCGGCGCCCCAAGAGGGCTCCCACAAGCAAAAATCGTGTCATTCCCTAAGGAAAACGTGCATTTTGAACATATCCGCCTCTTCGTCTTTCACACCTTTCAAGGCGGTCCAAGAGGCCCCCAAGATCACCCCAAGACGGCCCGAGAGACCCTCAAGACCGCTCAAAGACGGCCCAACAGCGCTCCAAGAAGGCCCAAGAAACCCTCAAGACGGTCCAAGAGGCCCCAAGACGGCCCCATGATTGAGGTCCACAGGGGCAACCTGAACGGAAATTTTGAGCCTCCCGCCCAAACACGCCCCCGAAATGCCCCTACAAGCCCCCAAGTAGCCCCACGAAGCCCCCAAGAGAGCCCCAAGAGGCCCCCAACAGGCCGCAAGAAAGCCCCAAGAGGCCCCCAAGAGACCCCCAGGAAGCTCCCAGGAGGCCCCCAAGAGGCCAGGCAGACCCCCCCAAGAGACCACCAAGAGGGCCCACCCAGAGCCATCCACGAGGCCTCCCAAAGTTCCCAAGAAGCTCCCACGAAGCTTCCAAAGGCCCCCAAGACCCCCCAAGACCCCGCGATGGCACAATACGGGCCGGCGGAATGAGCGAAGCGATTCAATAACTGGTGAAAGCGATCAGGCCACGCAAGTGATGCCGTATCAGAACCTCTGGTACCACGATTTGATCACGACGAAGGCCGTGAACATCTCGACACCATCACTAGGACCAGTCTGTCGCCATGCATCAAGCTCCAAACTCTCATTGGGGCTGGGTCTTCCTCCGCAATATGAAAGGCTTTCGCTGCTCAACTCCTCCCATCTCCTTCCATCTCCTATCTTCTCATTCTTCCTCCCATCCGCATCTCTTCCATCTGATCGCGCGCCCTCCCACCTCGGTTCCTCTTTCCTGCAGTGCCTGTGTAGGCGTCTATTCTTCAGGCCATCCTCTGCGCTTCTGGCTAATCAGACTACCGTCTCACGACAAGCCAAACGTGACCTCCCATCCCCAGGGCTTGCTGGAAGCTGCGCTGGCCGTCGCCGCTTTCCTACGCTCCCGAGGGGGTCGAGTGGAGCAGACGCCTTCCTGCCCCAACGCGCTGCCAAAAGCTGCGAGAGGGCTGGGCACGCCCGTGGGCGTCTTCTCGGGGCCTCCCCCCCCGGGACCTGAGATGCTGCCTCCAGAGCACCAGCGTCGCGAAAGCACGCCCGCGGTCTCTGGCACCTCGAGGCCCACGTTAGAGGAAGAAAAAGCTGCGCACACATCACCCTCGGAGCTCCGCAAGTGGACGCCTTGCCTTGGATCTGCGCGCCAGGTCCGGCGCTGGAGGTGCCGATCCGAGAACTTCGCGCGGAGCTCCGAGCGCACATGCTTGGGCAGCTTGCGCTTCCTCGAGGGAGGCCTGGCGTCCGCCCGCCGTCCCCGCCCCCCCCCCTCGGCCCCCGGACAGCGCCGGAGGCGACCCGAGCAGCGACCACGACGGGCAAGGCCGACGACGACCGCGGCGACGGCCACCACGACCACGCCGACAAAGGCGATCACCGCGAGGGCGACGACGACGACGACGACAGCGACCCGGGCGACGACGCCTGCCGCAGCGCCCGCGGCGGGGGGCGGCGGCGGAGCCGCGCCTCGCCCTCCACGTGGCCAAAGACCTTGGAGCCCCCGGCGGCGGTCCGCTGGATCTTCCTGCGCGGGCCACGCCAGGGGGGGGGGGAAGGAAGCGTCAGGGGAGCCCTTTTGGAGGATCATTTTGACATGTACCTCCTCGGCTTAGTCGCCTCTGTTGGGAGGCAACTGCTGGGAGGTTTTCGCCGGAAAGATTAAGGAGGATTAAGCCCCATTTGGCAGCTATTACGCAGGAGTGGGCCTCGGATCAAGCGGAATTGAGCCAGATTAAGTGGGATGTAACGGGATTAAGCGGGATTAAGTCGGATTAAGCCGGACTTCGGACCAGTGCAAAATCAGATTTTGACCTCCCAGGAGTTGCATCCCAACCTGTGGTTGCCTTTGCCGGCCTTTCGTGTATCATTCGCGGGCTCTAATTGACTTTAGTTGCCTCTTAGCGGCCGTTAGTGGCCCTTAGCGGCCTGCAGCGACCACTGGTGACCTTTAACGTCCTGTAGCAGCCCCTCCAAAAGTGTCAAGAAGTGTAGCATGCACGTTGAACTGAGCTTTGCAAAATTATCCTGGCGAAAAACCCAACCATATGCAGTTGTGAGTGCCGCAATTGTGAGTACCTTCTTCGGTGGCGCTCCCTATGGGGCCACGAACCGCATGAGGGGTATGCCGAAATATGGCGGGGTACACAACGCAAAGGAATACGATAGGTCAGAATACGAAAGAATGAACGCGGGTGAGCCAGAGCGCGAAAGAGTCTGAGTGTGAATGGGTCTGCGTGGGAGTGAGTATATTTGCATGAATGCAATCTTGGCTACGCCTAGTGTAAATGCATATGAATGTGAATGGCTCGAGCATGCCTGTCCGAACACTCGTGACACTGGGCGTGGCCGCCGCAGGCAGCTTCCGCGGGAACCCCGACGGCAGCGCCCGCGCGCCGCGACGCCCATGTCGGCACGTTCCGTTCGCCTGTGGGGCCGCGAGCATGACGCCGACGGCGGCGCCGACGGCGGCGACGGCGGCATCGGCGGCGGCGACAGCGGCCAGGGCGGTCCTTCTTCCTCCTCCTCCTGCTCCTCCTCCTCCTCCTCCTCTTCCTCCTCCTCGTCCTCCTCCTCGCCCTCCTCCTCCCTCCTCCTCCTCCTTCCTCCTCCTCCTCCTCCTCCTCCCTCCCTATGGGACCACGAAACGTGTGAGGGGTGTGCCAAAGTGGGTCTGCGGCGCCATGTGGGGTGCGCCACTTGGACCTGAGATGGAGCTCCCTGTGGGGCCACGAAACGTGTGAAGGGGTGCCATGCGAACTGCACCACTGGGACCTTAGGTGCAGCTCCCTGAGGGACCACGAAACGTGTGAGGGGTGTGCCAAAAAGGGGCGGTGGCGCCATGCGAGCTGCGCCACTTGGACCTCAGGTGGAGCTCCCTGAGGGGGCACGAAATCTGTGAGGGGTGTGCCAAAATGGGGCGGTGGCGCCATGCGAGCTGCGCCACTTGGACCGTAAATGGAGCTCCCTGAGGGGCCACGAAATCTGTGAGGGGTGTGCCAAAATGGGGCGGTGGCGCCATGCGAGCTGCGCCACTTGGACCGTAAATGGAGCTCCCTATGGGGCCACGAAACACGAGCTCCCTGAGGGGCCACGAAATCTGTGAGGGGTGTGCCAAAATGGGGCGGTGGCGCCATGCGAGCTGCGCCACTTGGACCGTAAATGGAGCTCCCTATGGCCACGAAACGTGTGAGGGGTGTGCCAAAAAGGGACGGTGGCGCCATGCGAGCTGCGCCACGTGGACCTTAGGTGGAGCTCCCTATGGGGCCACGAAACGTGTGAGGGGTGTGCCAAAAGGAGCTCCCTGAGGGGCCACGAAATCTTTGAGGGGTGTGCCAAAATGGGGCGGTGGCGCCATGCGAGCTGCGCCACTTGGACCTCAGGTGGTGTGCCAAAATGGGGCGGTGGCGCCATGCGAGCTGCGCCACTTGGACCGTAAATGGAGCTCCCTATGGGGCCACGAAACGTGCGAGGGGTGTGCCAAAATGGGTGTGCGGGACGCATGCGGGCACACCCACTGGGACCTTCGGTGGAGCTCCGTATGGGGCCACGAAACGTGCGACGATGGCGACGAGGACAACGATGATGGTGATGACGACGATGATGGTGATGATGACGATGATGGTTATGATGGCGGCCATGATGTTGATGATGATGACGATGATGATGATAATGATGATGATAATGATGATGATGACGATGATGATGATGATGATGATGATGATGATGATGACGATGAGGATGATAGGAGGGGAGAGGAGGCGGAGGAGAGAGGAGGAAGGAGACGCGGGGCACCGTCTCTTCAAAACGAGGACCCAACACCACAGGATGGTTGGGAAAAAGAGGATGACGATGAAGGAAGAAACGCGGGGGGGAACTGGTAAAGACAAAAGACCTTCTGCTGGTGGAAAAAATGTTGAAGAGGACGGTGCAACAACGTCTCAATAACGACGACGACTCCCGCGAGAAGGCCTGAAACCACTTTTAACAATCATCGACCAAGGTGCTGCTGCGTGACGGGGCCCCCAGGGCATTCATGAATCGTCGTCCAACGTAAGGCTAAAACCAAACTTATCAATCATCGCGCAAGACGATGCTGCGTGTCGGCGCTCTGAGTAGTCATGAACCGTCGTGTTATACTCAGACGAAAGCGGGGTGGAGACAAGCGTGCATCGAGGTAATTCTAACTAACCCTTGAGCGATGGCGAATCTAGAGGATGCACCGGGCGCCGCGCCCGTTTCAGGGCGCTCCGGAACGCTGTCAGAGCGTTCCAGGACGCCCGTGAGAGATTTATCTCCATCCCAGGCATGCCTGGCAGACCCTGACGCATCTTGAAAAATACTGAGAAGGAGGAGGAGCAGGAGGAGGAGGAGGAGGGGGAGGGGGAGGAGGAGCGCGAATGTATTGTACACATCCGTACTTCGCCTGGGGGGCCGGTCTCCCAGGACACACTTGGCGGTCAACTATCTCCAAGCCCACCGCCTCTCGAGGTCCGGGAAGATCGGTTCACCAGGCGGCGTCCTCGTCGTCCTCGTCCTCCACGTCCTCCTCTTCCTCGTCCTCGCCCTCGTCCTCGCCCAAGATTCGAGGCGCTACTGGGGGGGTGGATCTCTTGAAATCCAAGACTCGGAGATCGGCTGATCTCCACCTGAGTCCCTATATCCGTTTGTCCCCTCCGCCCGCGGCTCGCTCCCACCCCCTCCTTTTCCTCCCCTTTTTCGGCACTCCTTCCTCGCTCCATTCCGCCTCGTCCCCCTCCTCCCCCCATTTCTCCCCTTCAACCCCCTCTTCCTCCCTCCACATCCATTTCCCTCCCCCCATTCCCCTTCCCCCCCTCTCCACACCACCCCTTCATCTCGCACCCCATCCTTCCAACCAGGGGAAAGGAGGGGTGAATAGGAGCGAAGACAGGACAAGGACAAACCTGCTTTCCCCCGCCCTCTCCACCTCCACCTCCCTTCTTCCACAAACGTGGACCCTAGAATTCTCGACCAATTCCCATGGACTGGTTATTGATCCCGAGTCCAGGTTTGACGGGCCTGGGGCCCGTCCAAGGTTCCCAGTGGCGGAACCGTACCAGAAGCTGTCGGTAGTGATGTGTTCACAACGGAGCGCACGAGCGTCTTGGTTCACTGCAATCTACAACATGTCCTCTCTCCTGGATCATGTTCGAATGGGAGCCGCTTCCCCTGAACATTGTTTAGTTAGCGTAAGTTTGGGATGTCTATAGTTTATATCATGTTTGATCGTGTTTGCTAACGATGTTCCCGCTGCAGCAGTGGCCTCGTTTCAACATCGACGCTTTGCTTCCGTCGTCCAGACTGGACTCTCGCCACAGCGCGGGCCACGATTCTGGACACAAGTCATTCCTCGTCGCTGTCTCCACGCGGCATTTCCCTTCTCCGCCGTCCACTGGTCATCTTGCTCCTCCCGCTCGTCCTGCTCCTGCTCCTGCTGCTGCGGTTCCTCCTCGCCCTACCCATTCATTCCCTACCTACGCTCTGCCTAGAAGGGTTCTTACTCTCTGGGCTTAAAGGGGCCGGGCAGTGGAAAGCGCCCCGGGCGGTTCCCCCAGTATCCGCCCCGCGGTTCCCCCAGTTACGTCCCCTTAGTTTAGCGTTGCTTATCTCAGCATAGCTTAGCTTATTTCATCTTAGCTTAGCTTAGCTTCATCTTAGCTCAGGTTGATCTTAGCTTAGCTTACCTTCATCTTAGCTTCACTGAGCTTTAGCACAGCAGAGCACAGCATAGCATAGTGTAGAATAGCATAGCGCAGCACAACATATCATATCATAGCCCAGCATAGCATAGCATAGCGCAGCATAGCATAGCATAGCATAGCGCAGCACAGCACAGCACAGCATAGCACTGCGCAGCATAGCATAGCAGAGCATAGCAGCAAAGCAAAGGCAAAGCAACAGCAGCGACAGCAAAGCCAACAGCATAGCATAGCATATCCTACGTCTGTACGCATGCTGAACGTGGGCTGTGCAGACCACCGCTCCTGCAAGCGGCAGCCGTACCGACCAGCATAGCAGAGCATAGCAGAGCATAGCATAGCATTCGCATAGCATAGCGCAGCTTAGCATAGCATAGCATAGCATAGCATAGCATTAGCATAGCATATCATAACACAGCGCGCCATGACATATCATAGCATAGCATAGCATATCATAGCATAGCATATCATAACGCAGCATATAATAGCACAGCATAGCATAGCATAGCAACTGATGCTGCTTTCCTAGGGGCTCCAACTTCTAGGTAGGGTCGCACTGGGGAAATTATCATTCTCTTCCTCCTGATCATCTTCTTGCTCATCCGCCACCACATCCACCAATGCACACATCTCCCCTTGTCAGACTGCGCACACCGCGATGAGACCACTCGCGGGGTTCCAGGTCCGCGATGCCACCCAAGGAAAATCAAGGCAATGAGAAGGGGTCGGTGGGAGGGATCGGATGCCACATTACGGCGCGATCGCACCTCTTGATTGCTCCCCTCCCCTCGCCCCCCTCCCCCGCCCGCAACGCCTGCCCGCGGGACCCCCACCGAGGGGCCGGGTCCTGGAAGTGCCGCTGTCCGAGTTCACCTCCAAGGAGCGGCCCGCAACGGGAGAGGGCAAAGACCACGAGGAGGGCGGGCAGGCAGGAACCCGGGAAAGAAGGCGCGGCATGACCTGCAACGGATGTGTGGCTCAGGAAGACAACAAAAGGCATGCTGTGGCTTTGAGAAGGGACAGACCAAGGAAGAGGTGGGTGGGATGAGGAGGCGGCAGAACTCATCCTCATCGTTCGCATGAGCCAGACGGGTCTTGATGGAAACGGACCTGGGCCCTGGGGCCTCTCCCCAAGACTACCTTTTCGTCGTGATTTTTTTTGTGACTATCCCGGCACCCCCAAAGAGCAAAAGGCTGTGAAAAGCCTCGTGGGGTTGGAGGTGGCCGGGATGTCTGAACTGGCTGGAACCCAGCCCCCAAAAATCTGTCAGGAGGGTGGAGCCAAATCCGCTCAAAAGCCAAATCCGCTCAAAACCCGTCCCCAGACCCTTCCCGGAGTCCATCTGGTGTAGTTCTGTGCCCCGGGTCTACGCTTGACGGTCCCAGGGCCCGCGACCGGCCCCCCGGCAGGCCGAACAGACCAAAAACCCGTCGCGAGTCCGGAGCCTCGAGCCTGCCCGCCCTTCCTGCTGGCCAGCACCAGAGCTGGGCCACCTCCGACACCCCGCCGGCCTCAACCCCCAGGGACCATTTGCCTCAGGACCCCCTTTCTGCTTCACGGCGACGCGCCCTCCCCCCACTGCAGCGGCGGCTGGCGGCCTGCGTCATGACGTCGAAGTCGAAGATGTAGAGGCTATCGAAGCCCTGGCGCGGCCGCCAGCAGCTCCCTCGGAGCCACGCGTGCCCCCGACTCGGGAGCGGCAAAGAGGGGGGCGTCAAAGAGGGGGGGGGTGCAAATCATGACCGGCGGCATGTGCGCGGCCCAGCGGGGGGGCCAGGGGCGTAATGAAATAAGAAGCGGCACCATGAAACCTGGGGAAGCATCATGGCCCACGCCATGATATCCCCCTCCCCCGAGTCATCACCCCCCTCTTTGCCGTCCCCGACCGACACCCCCGAGGGCCGAGCGGCGAGGCGGACACCCACACACATCACCGCGGGAGGCATTCGACAATGTCCTGCCTCTGGGTGCCCCCGCTGGGCCCCGGGACCGTCTGGCGAGCAAGCGGCTCGGGAGGAGCAGCCGTTCCCGGGGAAGGCGTGGAGACCGCGGTGGGTCCACGTCGCGGACGACGTCGAGGTCCATGTCGGCCAGACTCTGCTTCTGGCTGGCGTCGGAATGGTCACTGAGATGCGGACGTCGCAACGTTTTCTTCACGACGAATCTTCGCCCAGATTCGGGCGTGGAGGCCTCCGCCGAAGCAAATATGGGATCGAAGGCCCGCAAGACGGGGATGACGATGAGGAAGGGACAAAAGGAGAAGGAGGAGGAGGACTGACAGACAACCACTTGCGAGCCAATGTCCTTGTCAGATGGCTCTTCCCACCTTCGGCGAGAAGAATTAGAAACATGAAATCGTGAAATCGGCTCTGTGCTGCGCATATGGAGGCGCCTACCAGCGGCTTCGCTGGGGGACTCCGCTGGCTTAAGGAGGGATGGTCCGTCGGGGAAACCCAAACCGCCCTCCGAAAGCACCGGTCCCCTGCTTAGCAAACTTGACGAGTCGTGAGGTCGTCACAATCTGAGCACAAACTTTCAGACCCCTGAGGATTCGGGGGCATTATCTACATTTCCTGCTGCGTCCTGGACGGTGGAGGGCGGAAGCAGGAGCGGGAAGAGAGAAGGGGACTCAACCGAGGAAAGGGGGAGGTCAGTAGGGATAGTCTGAACCCAAGACGCCCGATTTGAAAACTGTTCCATGTTGAGTTCGAATTCGACTGAGGCTTCAGACTGATGAAATCAAGCAAAAAATCCAAATTTTGTATCGGAGAATGGGAACAGACGATCTAGCCTGCAAGCGCGACGGGGCCTCATCATTCAGCTGTCCGTTCCTGAGCATAACGGTCATTCTCTGGGAGCCTGCAATCTCATCAAAGACAGCACGGTTTAGTCCTCGAGCTGTGCGGCTATCTCCTCCTCGGTGTTGTTCGTTTCTTCTTTCCCTTTGCCCTGGCTGCTGCCGCTGCTGGTGGCCTTGCTGCTGTTCACCTGTTTGGCAATGCTGTCGCTGCTCATGCCAATGCGCTGCAGGAGGGTCTCGGCGTCCCTCTCGAGCGCCCCCCTCGGTGCGCTGCCTGGCTTGTACTGGCCCTTCTGGTCGATCATCACCTGGCAGGTCGCCTCGTGGAGAGTGATGCCCGTCTGGCCCACGGTGAGTGTCTGCTGCGCTGATGCCAGCATGAACTGTATCTCGTAGGTGTGCGGCCCATCGAACTTCTTCTTGTCGCAGTGGCAATGACGCAGCCTGAAGTAGTTCACGTGAGTCTGCAAGTTCATCAACGCCTCCACATTGGGTTTCTTGGCCACCGTGTTCCAGTACGGGATGGGGACTTTGTTTTCAGCGACTCGGACAGCTCGGGCATGAAGATGTGGGGCCATGGCGGCCCGTTCTGGTAGTCCTTGCCCTCGGTCTTGCACGTTTCGCTGTAGTCGGTGCCCGCTTGACGGAGGATCTTGATGATCGGAGCGTCGCCTGGGGGCAAGAAGCAGGTGTAGTTGGCGCCGATAAGCCCCGCCAGGTCTCGACTGTTGCTCAGGGTGATCCTTGCCAGGATCGTGATGGGCGCTGCCGGGAGTCCTCATGCGCCGGGGGATTCCTCTTGGACCTGTTCCTTAAGGCGTGCCAACTTGGAGCCCTTGGAGCCTGCGTCTGCTGCGGAACCCACCTCGGCCTTGCGCTTGGACCTCGTCTGGAGCCACTCTGGAGCCTCTTCCACCTCCATCGTCCACCAATGGTAGCGCGTGAAAGTGCGAACGGAGATGGAGTCGAAGTGCGCCCGCATCGTGTACGCGAGCCTGGTACAGCGGACAAGTGAACTCATCTTCATATTGTCGTACCTGATAGGTACTGCTTCTAGAGGCCGTACAAATGCCTGTCCTGAATGAACTGACTAGGTGCCTGTAGGTGCTGTTCTGGTTTTCGAAAACCGAAGGCAAACGAAACACTGATTGGTGAACACGGCCTGGGATAACATCGCTCGAAACTCTTGACGGTTATATTATAAGCCAACGCCCGGCGCCGGGACACACACGACGCTGGACAGCAATTCACAGTGCACCTATAATGGCCCTGACTATCGTCGGGTCGCGTTTGTAGGTGAGGGAGGGAGCGCTGCTGTTGCCCAGCCCAGGAGGTGGAATACTAACACTGAGCCAGCGGGCCCTGGTCGCTGCAGGATCAAACATCACAGAACACTCGGTAACCTCTGGATCCTGGAAGCTGGAAGGGGGGTGCTGTCGAACAGATCTATCATCTCGGCCTCCTGGTCACCCAGGTCCGCGAGCGTGTTAATGTCATTGACGAATCTTTGAGCCCATGGGCAAGCGGCCTGACTGAGCTTCCCCTGGTCATCATTGATGTGGATGTCATTTTGGATCTCAACCCTCATGGTCCCCAAGGGTGCTCCCCGTCCCGAAATATGCGCCTCTGGATTTCTGACCCAAGACTGGTGCCATTTGATGCAGCGGGATCGTGCTTCCAACTCAACAGCGTGACGGGATGATCGTTACGATGATATGCCGCCGCTCCTTGCATGGCCCGTCTTGCGTGGCCGATCACTCTGGTCTCAAGGGTTGCTAACTGCTTGGCCGTCGGGATGAAACTCTCAATGCCTGAGAGGGCGGGGCCGAGCACTCGGCTAAGACAAACTGCTCTCTTCTCCAAGATGGGACGTTGGGCTGGCACCAACACCTGCCCATGGCAGCGCAGCCTGAGTCAGTGGCCGCGAGTCGGCCCTGCAGCTCTGAGTTGAAAGTAGAATCAGCACGAAGCAGGCCTCCTAGCAGACGGGCGCGATCATCAACATCACCAGCAGAGGGAAGTTCGCCTGGCTGAAATCTACGATGTACGTGTTTGCTTCCTGGGCCAAAGGCTGGAAGCGCGGTTGCATGCCTGGTCGGGTTTTGTGTGTAGTTGTGATCTAGCATGCGCTTGTTCAGTATGTCCTCATAAATGATGGGTTTGCCGCTTACTTCGTCGCCCACGCCCTCCTTCCCCCCGCGCCCCCCCCCCCCCCCCCCCCCCACACGCACGCGCGCGCACACCCCCCCCCCTTCCCGCGCCCCCCCCTCCCCCACGCCCCGAGATCAGGACCTTTCGAAGCGTAGCCGGCATAGCTATGGAAGGTGAGGTCTAGCTCGAGGTTGGCGTCTAGGTGGGGGGGGGGGTCGATGATGCACCATGTGCTGGTGCAGTCGCCCTCTTGCATGTAGCGTTCTCGAGTATCCTGAAATGTCCACCCGATGTCCCTAGTAAAGGCGTCGGCTGCCCATGGATCCCCTTGGAGGACCCCCGCGCGAGGCTGAGCGTAGATGATCCCGTCGGGCCCCGAGAAGCACGCGGCAGCATGCCAAAACCGGTGTTCTCCAAAACGCGTCTCTGAGCCCCTCATGATGCTAGCGTTGGCTCGGCTCAGGGCGGGGAACGAGGTGCTGCCGAAGGCGATCGCGACGTCCTTGTGCTCACGAAGGAAAGGGGTGCCTAATCTGCGGAGGCACCAGCCTAAAGATAATTGGAGCATCATGGGTGTCTCTCGTCATTTCGATGGCTACGCAGCCATGGGCGAACTGAGGTTCGGAATCCTTCTCGCTGGATGAAATACAACTGGCAATGAATGCTTTTTTTGCCGAACGGGCAACGGACGCGGATAATCCGCTTGTAGGTGGCAGCTGTGCCGCGAGACAAATTCCACACCATCGGCATCTGGCTGGCGCGGTAAATCTTGCGCACTATACATTTGAAAGAATGGAAAAACACGCGTTCCACGTCTGGAGCTCTCATTGCCCAGACCGTGTTATTTCTTTGACGTTCTTCGATTAGGGTGAAAGATCATCCGGTAGATTTCCATAGGGAGCGACCATGGTGGAGCTGCTCGGCGCTTGGCGGCAGAGCGGAGTTGTCTTGCCATGAGTTGTAGCTTCTCTTGCGCCCATGCCAATCCTTCACGAGTGCAGGGGTAAGGATGTCCTGGCTCTCGAGACCGTCGGGACATAGATGTGGTCGTGCACGCGATTGGTGCCGCCCTGGCGAGACTGGAGCTGGAACCAGTGTCGGAGGTCGTCGGAGGTGGGGGGGGCCTGCGCCGCGCGTCGGTAATTGCGCCGTCTTGAACCAATGCCCCGCGCAGATAGATGACGGGATAGTCGTGCACCTTCAGCCTTGCGACCGCATCGATCAGCCCGTAGAAGCTCAACTGCAACCTCTTCTCGACATTGACGGATGCGTCGACGTCGTAATCTGCGCTGGTGTCGGGAAAGCTGGCGAAGCTGGACGGCGATGGCAGCCTCTTGGCCCGTGGCGGCGGTGGTCGCGATGTCGCGGCGCAGTTGTCGTCGACGCCGTAGCAGCTGGAGTGCCCGTTGTGCTCGTTGACGATAGCCTGGCCGCGGTTCAGGAAGATACGTAAACAAAAAAAACCTCGCGCCTTCCTCTCCAACAAATTGTAAAAACTGGCCCCATTCCTTGTTCGGTCTGTCCGTCTTGCCTGGTATGTTTGAAGTCCTCTTTATGCTCACTCATGCGTTGTTCAACCCGTTGTACGAATTGGGCTCTGTTAGTGCCTCGTCGCGGTGCGTCCATGAGAGCTTCGCGGTTCCAGGACATGAACTGAGGGACGAAGCCAAAGTCAGGATCAGCAGTATGACG